GTCTGTGTTTGCCAAAACATGCTTGCCACGGAAATGCTGCTGTGTTACTTTAGCTATGTGTTAGCCCAATATCAAAACACACAAGGTACTGTGCTACAGAAGCTATCTGCACCCATTCTCAATTCCCCTCTTACTGCTTTTATGAATCAAAGAGTATCCCATTTGATTGTCTTATCATAAACCCAGACTCGTGCTGGGAGGAAAAAATGATGCTTGGAAAGCTGAACACCCCTACAGCTAGGGCTGAGGAAGAAATTCAGCACTCTGAGAACAGAGCTCCCCTCAGCATCTTCAGGAACAAACCAGATGTTGTACTAGGCATATGTGTCAAGATAACAGACCAAAAGCAGGAAATGCTAACCATTTGCCTGGGTAGTAATGTTAAAATAGCAGTTAACCCATAAAATTAACACAGCAAAATTGTTTAAAAAATTAATATAAATAACAATACTTGGACATTAATTATATTTGGCAATAGTTAAAATGTACACTTTGGCAGTGAAAATTTGCTTACAGTCTGTGAAAGACAAATACTCAACATGCTCTAAATGAGACTCATCATGCTGGCTTTTATGAGTGGTCCCACTGGAATTAATATCAATGGCATAATGAGTGGCTGAGATTCAGCCTAAAGCCCATGTTAGACTTACACACACACATACACACTTTTTCTCACTCTCATGTCTTAAGCTTACTTGTTGCATATGCTCTTGCTCTCACAAAGTGATTGAAACTGTATTTTCCTAATTGAGCCTTAAAGATTTTTACAGCTTCCCCTCCTCACCTTCTGTCTCTACAAAAACAGATATTATTCCAGAACTGTGGTTATAAAAAAAGCTTTGGGTTTGTTTTTGGGGTTTTTTTTAATGGATTCTGAGTGTCTTCTTCATATCTACAGTAAAAAAAAATTGACCTGAATGATCTCAAAACTACTTGAGAAGTTAATTTTATTGATGTGTTTAAATGTTGTTCAAAGTTCAGCAGACATAATAAAATATGTACTATAAACATTGTAAGTAAACAACAACAACAACAAAATGTAGATGGTTAGAGTATCAGAAGCAGAATAAAAATTACTACTTCCAAATACCTGACTAAATACCTGGGGGGGTTTCCCTTTTTTTTTTTTTTTTTTAGTATGCTCACAGGATGTTCTATGTAAGTATTTCCTTTAAAGATAGTAGAATGTTTAACCCAGCTAGGCAAATTATTTAATCTAGTTTTTATTATCACTATTCCTCACAAGTCTGGTTTTGAAGAAAATGGTGCATCAATGACTTATAGTTTTGTGGTTTCGGGATCTTTTTTTCTCTTGCATTATTTGTAGTCGGTTTGTTTTTTGCAAAGTCCAGTCTTTGGCATATGGACCACTACTGTCTTATACCTGGGACTTTAAATACCAACAGACACATAATTTTGTATGGAAAGAAATAACCAGAAAATGTATTTTTACTCCTATGTATCATATTTTGAAATCTATGCATCATATCTAGTATCAGGTATGATAGGCAACTACTAGCAAGACACAGAAATAACAGAGTATCAGAATATCATCATTCACTCTCCCCAAGTTTCCAAGGTGTCGTTCACCAACAATTATATATAACAAAATTTTCACCTTGGCCACCCCTGCTACCTGATTTCTGTAGAAACAGCACAACTAACAGTGATGCACCATCAACTTTTTTACCTTCTTGAGATCAATGATATTTCTGAAAAAATTTGTGCACTTAACCATAAAAGCCTACTGTACAACATCAGATCATGTACCATCAAAATTAGCACTGCAAATTTGAGAAAGTCACACAATCAAATCACACATTACTGGCTGCTCGTGGCTTGGATGGGCACACGCTGTACTGGGTAAAAAACTGTCTGGGTGGCCGGGCCCAAAGAGTTGCGGTGAACGGAGTTAAATCCTGTTGGCAGCCGGTCACGAGTGGTGTCCCCCAGGGCTCGGTGTTGGGGCCACTCCTGTTTAACATCTTTATTGATGATCTAGACGAGGGGATCGAGTGCACCCTCAGTCAGTTTGCAGGTGACCCCAAGTTGGGTGGGAGTGTTGATGTGCTCGAGGGTAGGGAGGCTCTGCAGAGAGACCTGGACAGGCTGGAGCCATGGGCTGAGCCCAACTGGAGGAGTTTCCATAAGACCAAATGCCGGGGGCTGCCCTTGGGCAACAACAACCCCCAGCAGCGCTACAGGCTTGGGGAGGAGTGGCTGGAGAGCTGCCAGTCACAGAGGGACCTGGGAGTGTTGATTGACAGCCCGATGAACAGGAGCCAGCAGTGTGCCCAGGGGGCCAAGAAGGCCAATGGCATCCTGGCTTGTGTCAGCAATAGCGTGGCCAGCAGGGACAGGGAAGGGATCTGACCCCTGTACTGGCACTGGGGAGGCCGCCCCTCGATTCCTGGGTTCAGTTTTGGGCCCCTCACTCCAAAAAGGACATTGAATGACTCGAGCGTGTCCAGAGAAGGGCAACGGAGCTGGTGCCGGGTCTGGAGCACAGGTCGTATGAGGAGCATCTGAGGGAACTGGGGGTGTTTAGTCTGGAGAAGAGGAGGCTGAGGGGAGACCTCATCGCCCTCTACAGCTACCTGAAAGGAGGCTGCAGAGTGCTGGGGATGAGTCTCTTTCACCAAGTAACATGCAATAGGACTAGAGATAATGGCCTCAAGTTCCACCGGGGAAGGTTTAGACTGGATATTAGGAAGCATTTCTTTCCAGCAGGGGTTGTTAGGCGTTGGAATGGGCTGCCCAGGGAGGTGGTGGAGTCCTCATCCCTGGAGGTGTTCAAGAGTAGGGTTGACCCAGCATTGAGGGATCTGGTGTAGATGGGAACTGTCAGTGTTAGGTTAATGGTTGGACTAGATGATCTTCAAGGTCTTTTCCAACCTTGATGATTCTGTGATTCAAATATTTATCAAACCATTTTGTGGGGGGAAATCTGACGGGCTGGACTACAATATATTTCTTTGCCAATGACCAACAATTACTTTTGCAATACATTTTATTTTTTTTTTTTAGTGTCAGTTTTAGTGTTGAAAGGGTTTATTGCTCTTTAGCCTGTGCGGGTATCATTTCTCTTCTTAAATCCTCACCTACACAGGATTTGAAGAACGTTCTATTCCAAAGTACAACCCCTAAACATCTACCTAGGAAGAACTCTTTGTCCTCCAAGGCTGTGCTTAATTCAAGACCAAGTAAGCATGGCCTGGACCTGTAAAGAGTGGCAGAATTTGTGCCCAAATTCATCTGGCAGGACTTCTGTATGTTGGTAGGGTCAAAGTGGCAAAGAGCACACTGGGAGCAACCTGCAAAGCAGTTTTGTCTATAAAGGTGAGTGGATCATGGAGCATGCTTATATTCATCACCAAAATTTCCTTGGACATCACCTAGAAGTCTTCTTTCCTTCTTTCTTTTCTCTTCATAATTTATGCCCAAGGATCCTGTGTGATGGGTACTCAAAAACAGAATTCAGCAAACACTGGGACAGTGCTTCATTAGGTATAAACTGGCATTGTGTTAAAGGAGGCTTGAGTGATGACTGATTAAAACCATTCAAGGTTATTACTAGATTGGCAGTTTTGATATAAATTCCTAACATCTGTCAATGCCCTGAAAAAGCAACACCCTTTTTAGTGGGAGAATAAATCACCCCCTCTGTGCTATACTAGCTCAGTTTGGATTCACTCTTGGCAGTACATTGAAAACTGTGGCAATTACTGCATGATGGGGTTTTATAATGTGAATCACAGCCCTTGAGGACATGAGGTGAATCCATTAGCTAATTTTCCATTGTGCCATTTAATCTATAAGGGAAGAAATGACAACACCTTGCTTTTCCACCATAATTCTTCCAGATTTTAAATATTATTTCAGAAAAATTGCAAAGAGGAAAAATAAAGCAATAATATTCAAGGCATTTAAACTTCAGACTTGTAAACAGCACCAATTTTCAAAGTTCATAATTACATTTCCAATTTGATACACAAAACCCCAAGCCTTCTAGCAATCCATAGTACATCGTACATACAGTGCATCAAAAGGTATTTTCTACGTAATACATATACACACTCACACTCAGACAAACTATTCAGAAGGATGATTCCTTTCATGAGCACACAACTGTCCAATAATATTTAGAATTATTTTGAGAGTCGGTAGCTAATACTTCATCTGACAGGCTCCCAAAACACAGGCTTTACATGTACAACTCCATTGTGTTGAGTGTTGCAGATGACCTTACACATGAAAGGGATGAAAAACTGATGTGTCAAAATCACACAGATCTGTTTACACACCTATTTAGCCACACACCACCCCCCCCCGTTCTACTGTTACTGGAATTTATTATATACCAAGAGATATAAAAGATAATATTTTATAATTATTATTATTTAGTAATGTACCAAAGGTTAATGGGGTCTCTTGTGTTTGCTTTTTATTCATACAAAAAGATGTTGTGTAAATCATTCCTACTTATTCTGTTATTTAGTTGAGAAATAAGATGGTTTATACCTTACCTTTATGTATATGTTAGTGACCTAAATCTACACCAGCCAATAAGTCAGAAAAGTCTCTATGAATAGTATAATTGTTCATTATCCAAAACCACCACCACCTCAGACATTTGTTATTATACTCATTTATACATCTAACAGCACCATTTTCTCTGTATTAACACTAAGCCCCCCAACATATGACCATTAATTCTGCAAATGACATTTTCATTTCTAAAGCCTAAAATCAGTATTCCTTTAAATTTACAAACCCTTTGCATATGACAGCACAGCATTCTTATTCCAGGTGATTAATTAAGGTAGTTTCTAAATTCAGCTTATACTAAAGATAACCTAAATGTGTATGGGAGAAATGTTACACACATGTTTTGATCAAATGCTGTCACATACTCCTCTGGAGGCTTGCTAAAACAGATACTGTAGCTCAATGCAACTTTTTTAGAGGTGGTGTAGGGGTGGAAATAATTAAAATGTTACCTTTGCCAAGTAATTCCCAATGTATCCTCACTGGCACTGGGGTATAAATGCCTGCCGTTTTGATTCATGGTCCAGTCACAAATTCTCAGCTGTCAATTGAAACCTAGCAGTCAGATATGGATCGAGCAGTACTACAGTTTTTAGTATTTAAATGAATACATGCAAACTAGTACTGTACATGGCAAAAGCCTTAGTTTCCTAAAAAGTAACTTTAAAAATAGAAAAAACAAACAAAAATAACTTATTCTGAGAAACAAATACCTGCAGATTTCCTTAAGATAATGCTACTTTAATATGCTCCTCTATTAATAAAGCATAAAAGAGTAACTAGTGTTTAGCACATAACAATTAGCCATTATTAGATTACAAACTGAGCTGGAATAAAAGGAAATGTTAATAATCAATAGTGAGATACCTTAAGAAAGGAAATTAAAATGCTGTTTTCTTTAAGCAATGCTCTATATAATGTGTATTAAGATCAAATATAACCAATATCTTGTAGCATGCATTTCGTGAAACATAGGAGACATGCAATTTATAGAAAATCTGCCCAAATTAAACAAACTGTGTGTCCTTATCTTGCTATTTAAGAAGGATAAAGGTATTTTGTAAACTAAGATTATTAATTTAGTGTTACTAAAAGTGGTATTACATAGCAAGAGGTGATAAAATAATCTACTCTTGCTTTAGACTCAGTGATAGCATTTAAAATACATTAATGCATTTGAATATAATGAGGAATGCATTAAATCTTAGCCGAAACAAATTCTTCCAAGATCCTCAAATCATCAGTTCTGCCTTCATGGATCATTCAAGTAACCCTCTATAGCTACATTTATTTAACAGCTGCCCTATAGTGTTAACAGATTTATTGAAAAGATATAGTGCTTATTTTTAAGAAAGTGAACTTATCTGGCTTGAAAAGAAAACACACATTTTAACCTCTGTATAGTCACACTGTATACAAATTGCTGTATATTATATATGATACAGAACTCTGAATTGAAGATAATGTTGCTGAGTTTAATTTCATTTGAAGTATTTTAGTTTCTCTATCTGTATTCACAGTATTTAGATAGTGCAGGCTACAGCAAACAAACTACAATAAACTATTTTCACAGGAGTTCAATTAATTGCAGTCTTTTCCTGGAAAATACAAATGCTGAGGACAAGACAATATTGTAAACATGACCCTGTCTGACTGTCAGACTGATAAGCTTCCTACTGTTAAGGTCTGAGAAATGGAAGTGTTAGTCTCTGATGTTTTCATAGGGATTGTTTCTTTGTTATCTAAAGAACTCCAAGGGACCTTCTAAAGGCCATTAAAACCATGACTAAACCACATGAAATTAACCAGAAAAGGAAACATGCATTTAAAAATTTTGCTAGAGGTAACTGTGAATAATACATTAAATATCTTTAAATAAAGGGGTAAGTAAATATTTGGTTTAGTCACTATACAAAACAGTATTGTAAACCTGATTTTAATATTGAAGACGTAGTAAAATATGTCAGCTCAGTTACTCAATGTATAGTAGATATATTTCCATTATAACCCTTAAGAATGTCATCATCTTCATTACAGATGTGTATTTGAAAGCTTTATAACTTAGTTATAAAAACTCACTTCCAGCTGAAACACAAGACTAAAAGGTTAAGCCCCACCCCCCTCTTTTCATCTTTCAGAAAATACAATATCTACAAATAAAAGACCTTTGGCTGATTAGAACCATAAAAAATACTAAAATCACAAACTTAGTGTTACCGAATTATTTTATGCCCTTAGGTCTAGCTCAAAAATCTGGCAAGCACTTAGTTTACTATAGAACCATAGTGCGTTTGCCATTTGGCAGAAACAGTAAGGGATTGATACATTAAATTTTAGTAAATCAGCTTCTGCACTAAATCATTATATTCTTCCCAAAGTCTCTATGAGAACTTCTGACATATACAGTTAATGTGTTAAATTTATTATAAAGCTCCAAAAAGAGCTTTTCAAACCTCTCTCATAAATGTTAGTAATGACATGCTTCATATTATATACAGTCATACATACCTCAATACATATACACCTAAATACTGTAATGGTAATAACAGAACATGCGCATTTTATATATATGTTATAGACACATACATGCACATGTATAGGAAGAATCATGCTACACCAGACTTATAGTTAGCATAAACTGTAGTTCTTTTCACTGCACCAACTCTGCCACACTTGGCATACTGACAACACCTTGAAGAACTGCAGGTCTGTATGACAAGGGGTTCTGTGATAAGCCCAGGACTGTATCATCTGTGCTGAAAACCACCTTCCCAGTGTTAAAAACTATTGCTCCACACTCCTCAGCAGCTTCACATAGCTACCATGTTGTCTTTAAAAACTAATGTGCCAGGAAAATGGTCTTCTTCTCCCTCACATAAAATATCCTCTCCCAAACCACTCCTGCTTAGAGATGAGGATGTCTAAGATTTAGACATATATTTTTGAAAGTATGAACAAATATAACTTTCAAAGTCTGCATCTGTATCCCTCACATGTGTTGATTGCTTTCTGGGTAAAAAGGCTAGAGAAGCTTAAAAGACCCCTATGAAGCCTGGCTCCTTTTGACAGAAGAAGACATCTGTTCACAGCAGCAGCAGAAATGCTGCCCTTGGAGGATGTCCAGACAGCCCAGTATGGAAAGCCTCAGGGCACAGACCTGACATGATTACCAAGCTTTCAAAGGATGTAGGGCACTTTAGTACAGTATTTTGAGTGCTATATGTTGTCTGGAGTCATGCTAAAAGCTTTCTGGCTAGTTATAGTCCTCAAAGTAACTTAAGGACCTCTAAAATCATGCCACGATGTTAGCTGGAGATGAGAAGGCACATTCACTCTCACCCGCAGTAATCCACTTAAAAGAGCTTCACTGCAGGATGTGTTAAAGGGAGTAGCAGGAAACTACTTGAAGGCTACTTGAGAAAACAAATTCCTCAGTAGAGGGACTTAAGAAATAGTCCTTATGAGACATTTAATAAATGCTAAAAACTTTCTAACTTTCTCAAAAATATGCTATGAATGCAAAATAAATGACCTGATTTGGCATATGACATGGTGAAAAGTCTTTCCTAAGAAGCGTGTTGGACAGGTCTGCTCTTCAGTCCCAGAGCTTTGTCATTTTCAGTAAAGAAAGCCACATGAACCCCACTTCAATAACAACTTCCAACCTCGAAACATTAGCAATGATTTTTTTATTTATCTCTCACCTAACCACACTGAAAAGAACATAGGTCTGTATTCTGAAGTGGAAAATTATGCCCAGCCTTGCGGCAGATGGCAAAACCTCACAGGCAGCCCAGCCATTTCCTGACACGTGGAGCTGCAGGGGTCTCTCATCCCTGCAATATGTCCTCACTGTTAAACTCAGGAAGTATCAAACAGCACAAAGCCCATCACCAGTGTTTCTCCAGGAAGACAGAGCAACTGCCTCACCTGCCTCAACTGTGCCATGGGAAGGGGCCACAGGCCCAAGCAGAAGCAGAGCAGTAGACCGAGTGCTTCTCCTAACTCTCCCAACCTGCCTGAAAGTCATCCACCTCCCTGCTATGTTCTGCCCTCTGTAAAATTCCAGGGAAGTCATTTTCATTTGCAGTTTCCAGTGCTGTGAAACGTACTGATGTGAAGTTCTACCCAAGAGCTAGATTTCACTATAGCTACTTTTACAGTTTAAACTGGGCAACTTCCAAGCACAACCATCCTGTATAGTTTTAGGTATGCAAATCCTGCATGCTTTAAAAACCTGTAGTCATCAGCTCAATATTTAACCATAGTCTAAATAATTTTTACAGATTAATATTTAAACAGGTTTTGTATTCTCCTATTTAAAAAGTGGCTAACACCAGTTTCAAGCTGCTGTGATGGCTAGTGAAAGTAGATATGTATTTTGGAAAGTGTAATAGCAGACTGCTATAGCCTCTGTTAATTGAAAGAAGCCCATAAAACTTAACATTTGCATATTGTCATTGTTTTGACTGAAACTTCCTTTAAATGTGTTTCCCTTCCAGCAAGCATATGTGAAAGGTGACCTCTTATCCATTTACATACCTCCTGGGTGGTCATGTGACCCAGTTTTACGTCAAACTGTCAATTATGATAAGGGACACAATAAGAACAGCCTAAGTGTTGATAACCTACTTCCTGGCTTTACTGAGAAGTTCTGTTTAAGAGTCCAATTGTGTTCTTCTTTCAGCCTTCTGCTGAAAGCAAGAGCAACATCCACCCAAAACATTTTGCAAACAGATACTCTGTGCTCAATGGACATTTAAGTTTACAGTTTCCATGATGAATACTATGAAGAGAACTCCCTTTTGAACTGTGTGATTCAGTAACTAAAGGATGCATCTGGTAAGAACAACTTCCTACTGAAAAGGCAGGGCAGTCAAGTACATAGGAAATAAAAAGCTATCTACAATTCTCTGATTTTGCATTTTAGAGACGTGTAGTGTTTCTTATTACTACGTACATGGCAAATGTCTTACTTATAAATGCCAAAGCTGTGTGAAAATCAGGCATACCACACACCACACCAGGGAAGTCCCAAACCCTAGTGAAAACCATTCAATTTTATTAATCAGTGCAAAGACTGGAAGAGTTCACTATCTCCTTAGTAACTGGGTCAGCATTAGTTAGCACAGCACGCTGTAACAGTCGGGAAAGTTCTAATAGCTATCCCATTTATCTATATTTTCTATTTAAAAATACAGTCAGCCATACAAGGCTCCAAGCTGCATTAAAATTAAATAAATGGCCAAGAAAGAAAACTTCTCAGTTATTTCATTCATTCCAACAGAAATGCTATTATTTGTGAACCATTAATCTGTATTTGCAATGATGTTTATCTATCCATCCATCATCCATCTATCTTTTTATACTGTTTACACGGGTAAATTTCATGAATTTCTGGCAACATTCTAGCTTTACAGCCAGAAACAACATCAACCTGCCGCTAAGTGTCTATCATAATAAATCCATGAAGCTGAGAACACAAAAAAGGCTACAGAAATGCTATCATATAACCATGAGAATTCTGATCACTCTTTGTTACTAAACTAATGATCCATCCATTAAAATTATTTAACGAATAGAATGGAAACAGAACTAGAATCTGGCAAGGGAATGTCTGCTTGACTGAATCTGAGTTTCCTCAGTTTGTTGCTTTTTCCTCTAGTTTAGGCTTAGAAACGCCAAATCTTCAGTAGATGCAAATCAGAGAAAGGAGGGAAAAGGTGCTCCCATATATTTATGAAGTATATCCAAACTTTCTTTTGCATGCAATTCATTTAAGATGGTTCTTACACAGATGATGAGCACCAAGTACTAGGTTTGACATCATAAAATAATCTCACCAACCACCAATAGCAAAATTAAGAAAAACTCACTCAGGTACTAGCTCTTATCACTTCCCTTGCCTCTTCCTATGGTGCCCTCCCTGCAGTTACATTATCAATACTTAACAAATCTCCAAAGCTGATACTGAATCAAGAAAAGCAAGCTAAGTGGTCATTAACAATTTCTAACATTTAGGGTGCAGCTGACATGACAACAAAATGATAAGATACATGTGACTCTGTAGACGCCACTGAAGTAAGAGATATGTTTTGTAACTATTTACGTCACAGTATAGAAATACCTGTTATTTCAAGGCAGATAACAGAAAGACCCACCAGTAATTGCAGCGGAAAGTGGACTGTATAGGTATAATTCCTCATTAGAAACTTGACTTCCCAACTATCAATGTAGCATGCTAAGTAATGCATGTAACACGTATTTTTCACAGTATTCAGATTAATAAAAGCAAATAAACTGCTTCCATCAGTGCTATTAAACACTGTCTTTCAAAGCTGTGTTCAATTCTTCCCATCTAAATGTAAGTATTCCAGGTAGGTTGAGCTATAAATTGTTTACTGGAAGTTCTAGCAAACTATCACTTTGTCAGAAGACTGTATTTAAGCGCATGTTGCAAAATACATGTGTAACACTTAAATTTATTGTGGCTGCTGTAATTTAAACAGGCTACATAATGGTTCTTTTTAGCAACAACAAAAAGTACTCAACGGCAGATGCCAATATTTCTCATAACCAGAGAGCATAAATCTTCATAAAGTCTCCTCCAATGAAGTAAAAAATGTACCGGTGACAATATTTATTCTTGAGGGGTCAATGTGCATTACAGGGTATGGTGAATGTTTAAAAGACCTCTCTGGAACTAAAACCATTGGCTTTCTAATTTAGATTTTCTCTCCACTAATACAAAATGATTGATTACCTTTATTGCAAGTACCCCTTGATTTTTCTTTTCATTCATCATGGGCTGCTTTAAAGCAAATGCATTTAAAATCTGACACAAGAAGAGATGTCTCTTTTAAATTTTTGTGAAGTAATGAAAGGACACTAAATCAATCTCATTTCTGCCTTACCAAAGGATAACCTTTGCTCTATTAAAGTTGTTTAGACAATCTCAGTGCTCTACCTCACTTTCTGGGTAATAAACATATAAGGCACCGTCATCTCAGAGACACCTTTAGGATTTAAGTGAGTGAAGGTAACTAATTCATTAGGAATTTATATATACGCACTTATATATTTGTATTTATCCATATGAAAAAGCTTTGTTGTTAAAGTATTCTGTCCTTTCAGATGGTTTCAGCAATATGTACTATTCCCTAATTTTGTACACATTTGTATGTGTAAGCATCCACACACATATCTCACCCCCAAATACAGTCAAGCAAGCATACTCACATATCCACTGCATAAGTTAGTAAAAGAATAGAGAATTCACAGCAAAGATGAAACCATGACACAATTTTTAAATGTCCTGTGTGGCTCACTGGTCACCAGTTCATGCTCTTGAATTCATATAACGAGACTATGAAGCAACACACTTTAGAAGGGAGAACACTGGTTTCACACAGTTGCATTGAAGAATTTTTCTGATTACAGAATGTATGTGAGACCTAATTTATTCTCCCCTTTCCCCCAAGCCATCTGGCCACATGTTTTACCATGAAAGGGAATATAAGACACAGTGCATGTAAACAGCAAAGACTGTGACAACCCTTGAGATGCCTCTCACTTTTATGTTCCTATAACACTGCTGAAATCTCCAAATTTATTCCATCTACACAAAGACAAAAATATATAGAAGATACATGAAATAAGCAATATATGATTTACATATACTCATAAACTCAGCCAAGAGAAAATTAAGCATGCTGCCACTACCTTCTGGCATGTGACAAGAAGTATGTAACTCTTTCAATAAACTTGGAAGAAGGTCGAGTGGGTTTAAACAGTAGCAAATTTGCAGTAAAAATTGTGTCGGAAAATACGTAGTGAAAAAATAAAATGTACTGCACATCCCCAAATTAACTGGATGTCAGAAACTTTTAAAAGGATAGTATGTAAAACTTCACAAGAAATCAAGAAAATACATGCACTGTGTTTAAAAATGGGATGTGTGCTTTAAAATACAATAAACATATACTGTATAACTTTTTAAAAGAACCATGTTATAGTAATTATAACACACTTCATAATACAACAATCTTTGAGAGGTTAAAAAAAAAAAAAAAGCAATACACCAGAAAATTTACTGAAAAATGAATGGTTGGCAAAACCACTAATTGTCATTTGGTATTTTCATAAAAGTGTACAGATGTTTCCAGTTAGGTCTCACTGGTTAAAAAATAAGTTGGCAAAGCATCAACAATCTTGAATAAATGATCATCTTTATGATTTTCTCTGAACTCTGCATGTGGTGACATTTAAAACAGACATACTGCCACCTTGCCCTGGAAGTGGGTAGGGATAGGGATTTCCAGATGAAGCACACTTAGCTATATCTCAGCAAACACAGAACAGGTAGGTTTTACTAAAAATTGAAACAGGCGTGTGTACCAACTGTTGACAGGAACCCAAGCCTGAGAAAAAAATACAGTACAATAAATACCAAGGACTATCTAACAGCCCTTTTCTTACTGCCACAGTCAGCTTTTATCCTTATAACATTTTACATGCTGTTAATTTCAAAGTCCTCTACTGTTAAGATCTAGGAGCAACACAAACACACATCATAAAATATGTTAAAGTTCTGAAGAGTCTGAATTTATTCCTATATTTACTAGCAATGTAACATTTCTGTATATGCATGGCCTTGCTACTGACTGAAGCTAATTTGTTTGTAAGCCATCATTACTCTCAGCTGTATATTTTCACAGTTTGGGTAAACACTTCATTTGCATTAAATTTACAGCATTAATGAGATGTGAAATTTAAAATGCTACTTGAAACATAAATGATGTAAGAAACTAGAACAAAAATGTGGTTTTAGCACGTTTGAAATCAGCGGACCAATTTAAACCTATTAAACTAGAAATGATGATGTGTTTCATTCAGAATTTGGTTTTATAACTCATATTTAGAACTAAAATAAAGAAATGTAGGCTTAAATATCTGGTGAAAAGAAAAACAAAATAAGTTGAAAATAATAAGTTGGACCTTTTGCTTTGGAAATTTTGCTTATTTATTTTCTACAGATTTTGAAATTAGTATTTCTTCCTTACACATCTCATTTTCTTTCCTAAGATCCTATTAAAGATTACATGTATGAGCTCTTGAAAAAAAAAAAAAAAAATCAAAAGAAATATGATTAGAAGTTCCTTAAGACGGCACAGACCTAAGAAAGCATATGCTAAATTTATGTTTCTTAAAGGGTTCAGTTTTGTTCTGAATAAACTTCATCTTCAGATGACTATTACTGAAGCCCTTAGGATCCCAGTCTAATCCAAGATAACAGTGGCAGCATGTAGGAAGGTAATATCACAAAAGCTTCACTATATCATTACACCTATGTGAAACTTGCCCACCTGTTGCTGGTGTAGGAAGGATGTGTCTCTTGGGCTTAGTCCCACATATCGATTGGCTTGGGATGTGCCTGAGGCTGTGTAGGCTGATTAAGGAAGAACAAAACAGATTGATAAAAATACCAACCTATCATAACTATTACCCTGTGCAGGTACAGTACAATTATGAGAGATCCAGAGTTATGATTTTGCAGTATATAGGATGTGTCTGTGTTTTTCCTATATTTGAACTTTAACAGAATGCAAAAGAAAAATTGGACCAAGTTTGGAAAGGCATGTAAATTCCTATAAACTTCAATGGAAGCTGCATGTCTAAATCATAATGATGTCTCTTGTTAAGTCCCTCTGATTAATATATTTGTATTTTTTTTAAGTGATTAAATAAGGTATGTATTTGAAGGAATCATGAGCCTGTTTCTCATTTGCATTACACCAGTCTGAGGCACCAGTGAAATCACTGAGATTACAATGCTGAGAGAAAATATCTGTGTACATTTATTATTCTTACTGCTGTGAAGGCCCATCATAAAACTGTAAAACAACAAAAACTGAAATCAAAAGTTCAGTTTATTTATGTGGCATGAAATGAATCTTTACAGACCTTTGGAAACAGGATGCAATCTCATCAGTATTTTCATGAGAAGGGAGATAATTTTTACTGTGCAATATAATATTAAATATTTAACTCCCTATGCATCAGGAAACAAAAATTTCCCAGGAGGACAATTTAAGGAAGTCTCTCGCTGTCCCTACAGATGATTAAAGAAATCCATTTCTGAGGAGAAAGGGAATGGTAGGTGATGCTGAAATTAGTTACAGAGTATGGAGCCTTCACCTGTAGGTCACATTCCTGTCTGGTCTCTGTCCATTACTAAATGGCTTTTAGTAATCCCTAAAAGCCATTACCCTCTCATGGCTTTTGGTGGCACTTATGAAATGAGATAGGTAGTCTTACTCCACTTCCCAGTGTGGAAATATCCGCACTGCAACGTACAGCATCACAACCTGGAAACTTGCTGACAGACAAAACAAAACTACTAAAATTGAACAGACATACACAAGGATGCCAGAGAGGAGCTAGATGGGAGTACTTACTGAATTGGCCTGCTCGTATTAAAATCACACAGCAAATACAAGCAAATGAATACAGTAAACAGGCTTTACTGAAAAACTGTCTAAAACTAATCAGATATTAGAAAGAAATTATGGTGCAGGCCACAGGGTTCCCCAAATATTATCAAAACCCGCTGTTCTTTCTCAGTCAAAACAATTCTGCTATTTCACTTCAGAATGAAAAGAAATGCTAATCATTTGCCAGTTTATTCTCATCAGAGTGAATAATAATGATAACTTGTTGGCCAAGCGTGTGTTTTTTATATATATTTTGAACCAATCATTCATTATAAATAAAAGCAAAACTATGCCTTAAAATTTGGTCTTGATTTTCCCATTAACATTAGCACTCTATGTGGAAGGTCTGTTCTGACTGATAATACACTTTATATGTATTCACATATAATTTATAAATCACGAGGGCATGTTCCCTCATTTTTTGCTATTTTCTTCATCAACAAGCTATGTTCCTTCACTTTTTTGCTCTTACAGTTACCAATCCAGTCTCAAAAGGCTTTATCAAGCAGATGGACTCCTGCACTGCTCTGAACATTTAGCTTTTATATACTATCTCATATGCAGAACTGTCACATTCAAATAAAATTTGTACATAGGGTGGTTTTTATTATTATTTACATATTGTAGTGACAGTCATTGGATCTTTAGCCAAGAAGTTACTTGCAAAGTGCTGTAGAAGCATGAGGAGGTCTTATTTCAAATAGCTGAGCTGAGATGTTCTAATGTACATGGGGAATCATGTATCCAAGTTTCAATGAATTGCACAAGAAACTGGGTGCTGACTTAATCTGAAATATAGTCCAGATTTCTTCCTTAGTAGTGGGACAGTGAATAGATTAGATAAGGTTTCCTGTAATGATGAACAGTATAGTCAGATCACCAGAAAACATTCCAAAGCAGTTCTGACATTGTATTTGTTCTTTTTGAAATGTGTGTTAGAAACTCTGACCTCATCTGAGACAGTTATTTAGGCCAGGCACGATTATGTCAAACAGGAAAGAGAATGAAAAAATTAATACTTGGAAGTATACATTAACTCAGTTTTCTCAGTTTTCTATTCTGGACCAAAAGTTTAGACCGACTGCTTCTTGTTTGCTGCTAAAACTAACTCTTCTTAAAAGGTGCAAGAACTATCAGGGTGAATACAGATATACTCTACCACCTTTTAACAAAACTTCTGCTATACTGAAAGAACAGTTAACATACTTTCATAAATCTATCCATATAATTATTTGTTTATACTTAAACAATAGTTTGTCCTTTTATTATAAAGGCATAACCACTTTTTCTCCTTTACATCTTGGCCACTCCTAAGCATCTGAGTCTCATCTGTTTCACATTCTAAATTAAAATCTGAAAAGATTTAAAGTAGTATAACACCTAAGAAACATACAGCTTATGGTCTCCATTAACAACAGACCAAAAGTTAGGGACTGGATTCACAGTTCAAATACTAAACAGGTTTAAAGCAAGTCATTTTAATGTAATGAACCCTAAAGAGATAAATATTTTTAAAGACTGATAAATTTTCTTCCAAAGTGTATATTTGTAAGTATCTCCTAAAAATCTTCATTACTCTGATAAATAATGGTAACATCTCAAGTCCAAATAAAAGTTCAAAGACAACAGAAAAGCAGAAAGTAGTTAAAAAGCAACATTCTGCATCACCGAGCACAAGATGAGTATTTGAAGAGAATAAATTATCCTATACATAGGAACACTTTTGCTCATATTTCCAAAACCGCAATTCCATTGAAGATAATAGGATAAATAATGTGGTCCTATATAGTAATAAAGAGATTAAAACATTAAACTTAGGGTTTGAAAAAAAAAAAAAAAAAAAAAAAAAAAAAAAAAAAAACAAAAAAACAACCAAGAAAACCAACCAACAGTGGATCTACCATCCATTGCAGCAATGACATGGAATTAAAATTTTCTTTTGCGGTATCAGTTGCTTTTGCTAAAAACGACACAACCTATATCAACGTGCAATTGTCATAGCTCGGACTCAGTATGTGTTGTAACAAGGCTTGATTTCTGTAGGAAAGCTCCTTTAGGAGCAAATTATCCAATCTCTGTTTGGAATTCTGTCTGCGGGTCACTTTAAAACCTTGCTGCCTGGGTGTGCTTCTCAATGTCTTAACAATGTCCACCTTAGATGAACTTAGATGAACTTAGATTCTCTTGAATAGTGGTCAAATATGCAGGCTTTTCCCATTCATTTTGGTTGGTCACATCACAAACTTTGGTTCATGTAACATGATGCATCGGTTGAAATTTGGTGAGGAAAAGCTTTGCTATCGGATCATGTTTGCTCTCCATGTAAAAGGATGAGCATCCACTTGGTCAAATAGTAGGAAAAGGCGCCTTTTTCTGGCCTCAATTTGAATTCATATAGAATCTTCGATGGACATTTTTTGTTTCCTAAAGAAATACTTACTGGTTGCTGTAGGTGAAGATGCCTCACCTTCAGTGGATGTAGTGATGGGTTTAGTATCTGTCATGGTCAGGGTCACAGGTCGCACCGCACTGTGATGGGGAGAGGGTGCCAAAACTGGAGTAAAATGGCCAGGCACTTTCCCTACTACTTGACCACTGCTGTTAGGCTACAAAACAAAACCAAAAGAATTCTTTGTGAAACATACACATTGAGTTTAAGGAACCTACCCACCTATTTTAGGGTTTTCCAGATTGCCTATCACCTTAGTACCTGTGTGCTGGAATGTGCTGTTCTAACAAAGCTATGAACTTCTGTGTGGTATTTTCAGCAAGCAGATCCCTCCTCAGATAGGTAATACATGCTTAAGTAGCAGTACTTCTTGGTAAGCTTGCTTTCTTACTGGATGCAGCGTACGTCAGATTGTTTCAAAATATATTTGCTGTTAATGCAGTGGCTGTAAACCACAGTAAATCCCATGATATCAGGATTAAACTGAACAGGCATAGGCCATAATGTACAAAGTATAAAGAGCAAATGAATGATGCAAACCCTCTGTTTTTACATGCCATACCACTCTGGCTTGGAGCATAACCAAGACTTGACCACAGTTGTCCACAGAGATTACGCATACTGGAAGGCTAACTAATAATTCACGTGTTTGGGAGTGGGGGAGAGGGTTAGGATATGATGCACTATAATGCATATTTCATAACATCTGGCCAAAAGCTGTCTACGAAAAACACAGAAGTGTTTAATAATGGGAACTTTGCAAGTCTGGAGCATAATAAACAAAGACATTCCTTTCACAGATACAAGAGGCAGTCTGCATATGACTTTAGGGTACAGGTCATCAAGGTAATATGGTGCTTTCTCCATATAGGCATATCTGAATTTTGTAACGTTCACTGGTAAATGTATATGTTTATCCAATGCTTAACATGTCTTATACTTTCTGCATAACTGTAAATACTCCAATGGTATATAACATGCCGTAAAAATTAGTTGAAAAAAATAGTTTTTTCAACAGTGGCTGATAACTTTTGTCTTAAACTGATTTTATGTTCTGTGAATAAAGGTATTTTAAAATACAGCCACAGAAAATAAAAAATACTGGGAATCTTATCAGAAGGATCTTGTGAAACTTGAGATAACTCAGAGTAAAGAAATGGAATGGTAAAGGACTGGCTTCAACTGATACAAGGAAACATTAAAAGAAGTAAACATGACTATGGTAATGAAATAATAACTGGACTGACACATTTACTACAAGTATGTGCAGAGTATAAACACACAGAAAAGGAAGAAATTATTTGGAACGTACAGGAAGTATAAACTCAGAGTAATGGGCTGAAATCAAGAAGGAGGAAATTTTAAATTAATAGCAGGAGAAACTTCCTCACAGTATGATCTACTCAACTTTGCAAATGCCCCCAAGGGAGAGTCTTGTTATTTAGGGCATCTGAAATTGAGCTAGAAGAAACACAAGTGCAATTGGAGACCAACCTTGCATTCATAGGAACAATGGGCAGTTAGCAGACTGTTTCCCTCTCTAAAAGCACAAGCTTTACAATGAAAAATAACAGTAAAGATGTACACTAATGAGAAGTGGCCAACAAACTACCCCTCTAAATAAAGAAAAGTCACCCCCTAAACATAACTGTATGTTTGTGGGGTGTTGGAGCAGGGGTGGAGACAAAAGAGCCATGGAATTCCACAGTCTTGAAAGTACAGAAATTGGGTACTATTTACCAATTTTTCATCCATGTTGCTAGTTGCGTAAGCTGAGATGTTATAACTAGGATTTTAGTAACAGGAATAAATGTCAGATGTCAAAGTAGCGTCAAAATAAGAAAGCAGCATGGATTCAAAGGATTGACAATATGTTCACAAATAATACAATTTCCCCAAATAACTGGCATGCCACATTGTGTTATTCACTAGGTGAAACTTAACAGTCAGATGGATGTCCCTAATTATGTGTACTTGCAATAAAAATAAGATGTGGCAGACAATTTATAGTGAATAATGTGGCCTAAAAGTTTACTGAGCATCTGTTTACATGCTTACATGACCAATGGGGAACTCAGTAATTACAGAGGTCTTTCCTGAAGAATACATATCATATCTTTATATTACAGCAAACATTCATCTATTAAGTATGTGTCAATAAATCCACTCTTTTTTTTTGAGATCTATCTTAGTAGTGGTTTAGGGAATTTTATCTTGTGGACTCTATTTTAAATGCCTGTCAGCCTCTAAAACCAGGTGTCTTGGCAACCAGAAATCTCACTTCACCTGCCTTAAAACAAAATGAAAATTTTAACTAACATAAATTCAGAAAATCTCCAAGAGTTACTTAAAATAAATTCCCCATAAAAAAGACTCACGAGACTCCAAAATAGAGGCAAGTAACCCCACTGGCTCACTGTGAGTTGTACAGAATTCAACTTGAGACATCTCTATGTTGCAATAAAACAGGCTCTGTTGTAGGTAAGGGAGTCATGACACAGTTTGAAGAATTTGTGGGGAAAACTGTCAGTAATATATGTGGGCCTTACAATAAACTTTTCTCTAAAACATAAATTCTTGTAAGTAAGACCTGCTTGCTATGTTGGACTATTTTTTCAGTATGTTTCGGAGAGGTAAGTCCCCTATCCTGCCCTGGCAGTCTGCTGGAAGGACTGACACCTCCCAGTTGTGTCTGGTAGCTCCTCGGTGGAGTCACCGACCTGTGACCACAGGGCTACCCGAGGAGCCCTAGCTCATGTGGTGTGCTAACATATCACAGAAATAACTGAGAATCCCTTACCAAAATGAGCAACTTTTATTAAGAACTATGAAAGAAGGTTCAGGGGAGTTTATGGATTAAAACAGGCAACATCATCAGCTTCCGAAAGCAGCTCTGTCTCCAAAGCCAGACACAAATGAATGAGAAGGACAGAGATGAAGACCAGGATGATTTACATCCATGTATCACCTTCTACTGTTCCCTAGTGATCCTGGTCAAAAAGAATGCAGAGGCTTACATGGACTCAAGCTTAGTCCTTGTGCATATGATCCAAATGAGCAAACCCTTTCCTTGCTGAGTTATAAGGCAAAGAATAAACTTATACCCCACTTTCATGTAAACCACGCTTTTCCCTGTGCAATACATCGCAGCAATGTGGTACATCACCCCACTTCATACAAATTAAGGGTGAAATCCTGTCCTTGCTGGGGAATTTGCTAGTGATTTTAGTGGATATGTTTGTGATCCCCACACCAAGTTCTTTTTTTTTTTTTTTTTTTTTGTAATTAATAAATATCTACTTAAATGGTAGACATAGTACCATATCTGTCCTACACGTAAAACTGAGCGCAGACACGATACAATGAAACCGAGGCCTGCAACCTCTAGACAGAAAAATAAAATCTCTTCAGTGAGAAAAGGGAAAGCTCGTTACTTCAGTAAGTTTTTCTTATGTTTCCAACATTTTAGATTCTGTCTGCACATTAGATTTCAAATGCAATTACAACCTCGTTACCTACCTCTTAGCTATTTTATTGCATATTGTCACATTTTTCCAAGTACCTTCTGACTACACTTTATGATTTATTCTGCTTTAATTTTTGTAATTTCTACCACTATTCATTTCCTTCATTGAGTACTTTATCTCTGTTTTCACATTTGTGACATAACATTTGTTTTAAAAATTTGCAGTGATGTCAAATACTGCATATTTCAATAACTGTTCAGATGTTATTGCTCAGCAAACAACACAAGAAGGGATAAGTATACACAAGACAGGTGTTGGTGTACCATGTCTAAGAACCGAACTTTTTCCCCAAAACTGAAAGATTCCTGTATTTAAATTTTTAACTAACATCAGTTCCAGGTAAGAACATACCTATTGGGACTTTTACACATATTTCTTCTTCAACAATCCTGTCTGTGTTTCAGATGGGACCTATGGTCCTCCCTTGGACAGACATATCATGGGAAATGGTACCCATGAAATTTTCTTAAAACTTCAGTGTTTTTCCTAGGTGTGCTACATCTGAAAACAGAGTTTATGAAAAGCAGTCACATACTCTTCCAAATTCTGTTACCTGAATGCCACTCGTAAGAAACTTTCCTGAAATGTCCAAGTGAAGCAGTTAACAAAACTGATATATAAATTACCATTATTAGTTTGCATCTTAAGATCATAAAGTAGACCTACATAAACAGATCATGTACTTGTCTCAGAATTATTGCTTAGACCTGACACTGACACTGCTGCATTGGTTTATACTCACTTCACACTTCTGTGGTTATCTTTGTAAACACAAAACTAAAAATGTGAAATAAAGCTCTAGATTCTGGACCTTGGTTGTTGATAGCAGTACAGGCTCAAGAACACTGTCTCTCTTGGATGTCTCAAGTCCTCTGTCCTGCTCTAAGTTTTCAGTGTGAAGAGGGGAAACCCTCTGGTCAGAAATAGCCCTCTGATGTCATCAACTCATAATCTTATTGAAAACTGGCTGCTAGAAGTAGCTTCTGTGGCCTGTTCTAACTTTTGCAGTTATGTCAAAAGATATTTAGCATGGAAACTACATATCTATTTGGACAGTATCCACTTGAGCTACAAGTGCAAAAAATTTATAGCACATCATTTAATACAAATTCATATTGTGCTTATTTAAAACAAGTTTTAGGTTCTAATTCCAGTTTTCCCTGAAGAGATTCTTACAGACAAATGCATTACAGATGAAAAATCAACTGTTACCATCAACTAGGGCATCAATATGCCCGTGTGATGGATTCAGAGGGAGATGATGCCTGAGGCATAAACCTCAAGCAAATTGCATGGAGGCAGCTGTGTTAGATAAACAGGCTGTGTATTTGAAATGGGAGAGGGAAAGAAGGAAACACAATGAAGGTCTGGCAAATTTAGCCCAAATCTATGCAGGTATAACATTTTTCTGTTGTTGGATTGGAGGCTAATTTGATTTTCAGATCTGTGTTACATTTACCAGCTTTTCAATTCACACCATCTTGAATTGCCACAGATTAATCCATTCATGTGCATGAAGCCTCAGATGAGTTGTATTCACTGTAACATAACTGACTCAGATTGTCAGACTGTTAATATCTGATTGTGTGCACTACATTCACTTTCAGTTGATCCTTAGATTTGAAATCTG